TAAAATTGTAAAAATAAGAGCAAGTCTACATGGATAATGTGAAGAGAACCCAGGGGATTGGGACTAAACAGCTGTGCAGCCCTAAGAAAACAACTTATTAGTGAGGCTACTCAGAAAAAACAAGCTTCTGTTTTCTGCGGAGGATAAATATTTAACTTTGGGTTGAGGTAAGGTTGTGTGAAAAGGTCATGTACTCTAATGAGTCCAGATTTACCCTGCTGTCAGAGTCACTGGTGCATCAGCGGCAGATGAAGTGATGCACCCATCATGACTAGTGCCTAATATACAAGCTTGTGGAGGCAGTGTTATGAGCTGGGGTTGCATCAGTTGGTCACATCTAAGTTCACAAAGGGTATGTGCCCAGTGAATGAAGTCAGCTGACTATCTGAATATACTGAATCACCAGGCTTTTTGTCATCAGATTTTTTTCCCTTCCCTGATGGCATGGACATGCTCCAAGATGACAATGCCAAGATTCATCGGGCTCAAACTGCCAAAGGGTAGTTCGAGCACGATGCATCATTTCCACACATGGATGGCCACCAAAGAGTCCAGACCTTAACTCCACTGAACTTAACTCTGCCATAATCAATACAAGGTCTTGGTTTTAAAATGAGCAGAAAATCAACTCTGGATAGAAATAAATGTTGTGACATTGTGTAAGTTTACTGAAACAAATGCATCTTGTCATCAAAACTAAAGACGGGCAGTGTTATCTGCTAATCAGATTGGTGGTTTGAGCCATGGCTGCTCCATTCTGCATGCCAAATTGTCCTTGGGCGAGATACTGAACATCAGAGTGTGGCTATGTGTCCATGTTCAGTAAAAAGCACTTACATGTAAAAAAAAAAAAAAAAGAATATATGTGTGAATGGGTGAAGCAGACATGATGTATAAAACACTCTGAGCCCATTTAACATTTGTTATGTTGCTCAAAGATGTTCCCACGCAGGTTTTAAAGGCTGAACCGATCATTACAAAAAATATAATTTCTGTGTGTCTATATAAGGAGTCAACAAGCAGACCGGTTTCAACTCAACAGATATTTTGGATTCAGAGCCGACAGTTTCTGCAGCTGATTGCTTCTAAGAAATAACACAAAAGAAGAGAAAAGATAAATGTGTAGCCTGATGAACCTGCTTTGAACAGGCTGAAAGCCAAAAAATGAAACGTGCATTGCTTTTAAGTGCATAGAAGTGTTACCTATATCATAATGTAGGCAAGATCTCTTTTGTAAAAACTTGTGTTCGGTTGGGCTCATATCCTTACAGCCAATTCCACTTTTTGTTATCGTGTTTTGAAGCGAGGCTGTTTGACATGCATTAGATAGTCCTGTCCATTTATACTCTATCAAAATAAAAGCCTGGGCCCATCTATCCTCAAACGCTGCAGTTAGGGATATAATATAGATAAATCTGTCTGCCTCGGTTTCTCTGAATTGAAGCAATTTTCTGATCTCGTCTTGCCGAAAGCCTCCAGCATACAAACGTGTTTTTCTTCTCTTAAGAGAAAGTCTGCTACAGTTTCTTGTCACAAAGCTTTGTAAAGTACATGCAGTGAAAGATGAAAGAATCACGCAAAGATTGCCATCATGTTCTAATCCAAAAACATGTCTGACTACTTCTGTTTCTTGTTCAGATTTTCTTAAAGCAAAATTTGCAAACGCAGTAATTTTCTAAAACCATTTTCAGAGGTTCGTTACTGTAATGTCATCATTAATGAGAATGTCATCAACTAAACAAACTTGTGCTTGTTGTTTCTGATATTGTTGTAGTAGTAACCATGTAAGCAGTTACCTCCGTGGCTTCTGACAGTAAAAGCTGAAAATCCCACGTGACAGTTAAACTTCATGTCGGTAATAAAAAGTGATTGATAGACTATCATGTTATTAAGTCTCTACTATATTTTTCTATAAAATACTAAAACGATGTAAACAAACTTAAATGAGCCTTGTCACAACTATAGCACCAGCCTCTTCATGTTGCCCCTTTGAATCCATGTTGCGTGTTCCCCATCTTCCTGCCTGTTTGTCAAACGTTTTCTTCTGGCTATGAAATGCTTCCGTGGGAGCCACTCAATCATTTCCTTCCCCTTTGATTGAAGAAGAGAGCACATTCATTTTGCACGGACTCTGGGGTGAGGAGGCGGGGCCTTCGGCGGGGCAGCTGCGAGCGCACACAGATATTATATCATGTTTATCTGTGCAGCAGTACAGACTCTTCCCTGACCATAAGTGCCAGTGTCCTGCAGGACAACTTTGATCTTGACCACCTACTGCCCTGCAGCCTCCCCAGGGTCACATCCAAGTGAAGGCCATAACTTCTCTTAGATTAAAGCTGCTAAACCTTCCACAGGGGCCACAGATGCTATCGGTTTCCCTTTGACCTTTGACCTGTCCCACTTAGGTTGAAATAATAATTTAAAAAAGTCCCTGCTACTGCAGAAATGTGGGAAAAAGCCATCGTGTAGCTTTGAAGCAAAGGGTGATATTAACGTATCAAGTAAGCGGGAGACCTATTTCTGTTTTAATCCTCCTTTTATATCTCTCTCTGGCCATTTCTTGCTGTCAAGGTGATGTTGCTGGGCAACAGCCAAAGGGAAATAGGATTCAGTATGGCAAGGTCAAGACTAAATGCCTCACACAGCTCTCTCTCTCACACACTTGACACACACACACACACACACACCTCCAGCAGTGAACCTTGAGCTAGATGCTGCAAGTCCCCAGAAATCCTGCTTGACTTTTGATTTTTATCTGTTTCCAGGCTGCCTGACTCTTTGCCCTGCCTTTACCCATCACAGGCATTTCATTTTTTCCAGCTTCTTGTAATACAGCTGAGGAGTCAGCTTTATTTATTAAAGAGGCATGGGAGCCAGCTAAATGTGCTAAGGGGCTATATCCAGAGGTGTGGCGGGGTTAGTGTCCTTGGGCTAACCTTCAGTGGACACATTTTACAAAGACAGTCACCAGAACCATTTATTCAGCTTTTATTTCTGGAACTGTAAAAAGCAAATATTTCAAATCAGTTGAATTCGGTTTATTTTATATTGCGCCAAATCAAACCAACTGTCACATCGAGGCACTTTATAATGTAAGGTAAAGAAGCTACAATATTAGAAAGTAAACCCAAACAATCAAATGACCCACATGAGCAAGCACTTGGCAACAGTGAGGAGGAGAAGCTCCCACAGCCGAACCAGGCTCGGGGAGTGGCAGCCATCTATTGCGACTGGTTTGTGGTGCGGGGAGGAAGACAGAGGACAGACTGTGAGAGAGCCAAAATTTCCAACTAATGATTAAATACAATAGTGTTGCAGTGTAGCGTCTTTAAGAGATGATAGGGGTTGATTATTCAAGACCAATTCTGGATTTAACTAGTAATATGTGGTCTGCCTTTTAGTCCCGTCATCACTCTCAATGCACCATTCTGGTTTAAATGAAGGCTTTTTAATGAGCTTAAACATAATTTATTAGGGTGTTTGAAATGGAATTTAAAGAACCTGCTATCTCTTCATGGTGTTGAAATACTGGCGCTATGAGAGTAATTTGAAGTTCTGCTTGGTTTTGCTTGTGACCCTTTGAAACGAAGCCTTGTGTAATTACATGTCTGAGTTGTGATCAGTTCACTAATTTAATTTTTTCAAGTGGTTGAAGAGTTTTAGTGAGTGAAGTTCTTACATTTAAAAGTTTGGAGTCCTGTGAGTTTAAGAAATCGTGTTGTTGTAGGTTGAGTGTTATGGTGCTTCACAGTCAGATTATTCTTTTAGATAAAACAACTGGATTATTTAGCTTCAGTGCTCCCAGTCAATATTAATTACTTGTCTACTTTAACCTGATGGATGGCATGGTTGTATGACCACTTTGTACAGTGGTCTTTATAGGTACACACCATCTTCCATGCTTCTCAGTTTCCTTTTGATATCATAACAGCACATTTAAATGGAGTACACACTTTAACAAATGATTTTAAACAGTTTTATATTTAACAGGTCAATTTGCCAATGTCTTCCAGCCCTGCTAATTAAGAATAAAAAAATACCTGATTTAAATTTGGCACGGCTCTGCTTCAAAGTCATGTTCTTGTGCACCTCTGGACTGGTTCCAGCGGTTTTGAGCCAATATTTTTAGATCACTCACTAAAAATCCCTGTCTCACCGCTTAAATAAACACCTACTTTTAACTGGACAAAAGTGCAAACATCAACTGTTTCAAACTGAACCACAGATCATCATTTTGGGTTTGAGGATGATGAAAAGCTGAATCACTGGCTACAACTCAGAGACCAAACAGCAGTTTTCAGTGGAAGGATCCACAGTATCCATCCCTGAAAGCAGTGTGTCAGGTCAGGATTTTGCTTCTTTTTTCTTTAATGCCATTCACGTGGTTTTGCATTGTAAATTTGGGGTTTAGTGTAACCTTCCTCAAGTGTCTGAAGAGGACCGTTTGGCACAAACAACCTCAGCTGTGCTGCTTGCCGGTGTGCATCTGCTCACAGTGCAGTGAAAAAGGACTTTTGAGGGTTTTTTTTGATACACTAAAACAGCCATCACTCATCTACAGCCCCACTTGTCAGATCTGGTATTATTCAACATTTTTTTATAATACTGAATTAAATCCACAGCATAAGCCCTGCACTTTATGCCATATGCACACAATGATTTCTGAAAAAAAGAAACATGCAGGAACATTTCAAACTAAAGGTGCAGTTCATGCAAGTCTTTTCTAGTCTTCAGTGTCAGTATGTCATGTATTTCTTGTCCGTGTGTGTCATCTTGTCTAGTCTGTGTCATTATGTCTACGTGTCTCCATGTTTCCTGTTTTATTTTGAAAGTCTTGAGGTTTCCATGTTCAATGTGCATATATTACTCTTCCCCTGTGGCGCTATTATGTTTATTTGTGTCAGCTGTGTCTCCCCAGGTGTTTCCACTTGCCTCATTACCCTTCTGTGTATTTAGTCTGTGTGTTTTCATTCAGTCTTTGTCAGGTTGTCTGTCATGTTTCATGTACTTGAGTCTGCTCAGTTCATGTTTTTCCTTATCATAGTTTCTCGCATGTGCCTGTTCAGGATCATGTTCGTGTCCGTTGACATAGTTACCTCAGTTTAGTTTTTTCTGTTTATGTTTCAGGTTTATTTTCGCCCATGTTGCTTTATTTTGTACTCATGTATCAGCCATAATACACAGCTCGCTTTTTGTTTATCCTTAGTTCCGTCTCCCTCCGTGTGTGCAGTTGGGTCCCTCTCACTCCCCACACAGTCTGCTTCAGTTTTGGTGTGAGTTCCCTGTCTGCACGGACCAGGCCGTGTAACAATGTGAGTACAGTAAAACCCAATGACAGCAATGTGTTTTTGACAAAATCAAGCCATAAAGGAATGAAGAAATCCACACGTCTTAACTAAGTGAAGTACTAAGCAGCTTCATGTGCAACTTTTTGTTTTCATCACTTGAAAGAGAAAAGCATCCACCACCCCCGATGAGGCTTTTGCTCGATGGCATGAGAATACTGATGGTGTCCCTTTTGGCAATGTTAATGTTAGCTAGCTTCATGCTTCTTGGTTGGAGGATGGAGACAGTTAACAGAAAAAAAGTTCCTGCCTGAAACATTTCTCAACAAGCTCTGTGGATTTTCAACAACACTGTCATGACTCCTGGAAAGAGACATTGCTGCTGACTTTTTCAAATGTGTTTTTTTTCTTTCTTTCTTTCTTTCTTTCTTTCTTTCTTTCTTTCTTTCTTTCTTTCTTTCTTTCTTTCTTTCTTTCTTTCTTTCTTTCTTTCTTTCTTCTTCTTTCTTTCTTTCTTTCTTTCTTTTCTTTCTTTCTTTTCTTTCTTTCTTTCTTTCTTTCTTTCTTTCTTTCTTTCTTTCTTTCTTTCTTTCTTTCTTTCTTTCTTTCTTTCTTTCTTTCTTTCTTTCTTTCTTTCTTTCTTTCTTTCTTTCTTTCTTTCTTTCTTTCTTTCTTTCTTGTTGCTGCTTTGAGCACCAAAAGACTGTTTCTTTTCTTTCTTAAAAAAAAAAAAAATCCTTTTCTAGTGCAGGTACTTAATTTGTCTAGATGGTATGCAGGGAACGGAGGGGAGCATAGAGGTCTCATGGGCATTAAGCAGCAGGGTAAACAAGCTTCAAAGCTCAAGCAGAAGCCTCAGACTTGACCTAGGGTGAATCGCAAGTCATTAGTTACATGCCAGGCAGCATCTGGGGTAATCACACCAAACACCATGGGCTTTATCACTCTGAACTACACACACTACAAAAGCAACAGGGCGTAGCATGTTGGAAGAATCCTCTTTTAAAACGAGAGAACACGTCCTAAAATAAAACAAGGAAGAAATGTTACACTTTTTAAATTTAGCTACTTTTTTCCTGCTCTTTGCTTCCAGCAACAGTGTTTCTGTTTGTTCACTGATTAAAGGAAACACAGAATGTCCTTTCTGACACCCGCAGCTCAAAGCTCGTCTCTTGAAGACGACAGCACAGCATTTCTGCAAATTTGTGTTTCATATTTTAAATGAGATTTTTGTTCAGAGCTCTGATAGGTTTCAATTTTATTGAAGATGTTCGCTTCCCTGGAATAACTTCCATGCTCCGCGTAGATCAGATAAGATGTGGTTGTACAGCATACCGAGACACTTTCAAGAAATCCATCACCACATTCTCTTATCATTACAGAAAATCACAGATTTATTACAGGCGGAGAATGCGTGCTAACCTGTCCCACTATCATTTTGATCATATAATGACAAAGTACAGTGATGGAAAAACTCAAAAGGTGCCCTTCTACCAACAGCCACACAAGCCTCACAGCTGAGCCCATCATTCCCCACTGCAGCTTCTCTGGTCATCTGATGATAGATAGCCATGTGGCAGATGTTTCCGGAAGTACCCCATTGATAACAGTCCCATAGGAGCCCCTTGATTGGAGTTCATCCCCCTCCCTCTGTCCCACCAGCTCATTCATCACTGGCTGAAATTAAAGGCTGCCCTTGAGTGTCAGCAACCAAAGTGTTGATGGAATGGGTGCTGATGAGATGCACTGATTTGAGTGCTGCATGGTATCCTGAGAGGGTGAGGGATGATTGTTTATGAATTTATGTACTCGTGCAGTAGATGGGGTTGTATTTTCATCTAATGTAATACACCTGTCAATCTGGAACAGCAAACGGTTATAGTTTTAGATGTGCATTTATGTAAAGTCTGATGTGGCAGTTTCACTTATCGGCAGCTGGACTTGGTGGAAAAAAGTGAAAAACAGAGGAGCTACATTATATGACATGTTTCAGCTGAATGTGTAGAGGGAGAAGTTCAAGCACAAGTGAAATTTGAGTTTGTGAAATTGCATAGAAAACAATAGAGGGGAGTGATTTGATGGATTGTTCCAGCATTAGCACAGATGCATAGGTTGTACTGAATCGTGATGGTGAAGTGGGAGTTCAACCAGCAGCACAATGCTTTCTGTTTACAAGCCAACGCACTTTCCACTTCTGACTTCACATGGTCATTAGTTTTAGCCAATTTAATTCTGATGTCTATAGAAAGAAGATCAATCAGGTGGGGGTTGGGGGTTTCATGGTGACTTGGAGGGATTCCTATTGACTTTATTGGACTGTATGAGACTCTTGCATACAGGTCCCTATCAAGTGCAAGTATGGGAAGATAAGAGAGTGAAAATGGTCGGTCTACAAATAATGACACGAATCATTTGGCGTATTTTTGTGCATTTGTGTGTCTGCTTAAAGCATCATGTTGAAAGCTTTTGGAGAATTCTCAAAGGAGAAAGGACATAAAAGAAAAGCCATATTTCATCTGCCTTAATTTGATGGAGGAAGTTAGTGGGCAGATGCCTGTTTGTATACAATGATGCTGTCTTTAGCAGACCAAAACAAAGGCACAAAAAGGCTGTATGTTGTAAAAAGGAAAATCATCCTTAATCTGACTTTTTGATTTTAAAAAATATGAAAGAATATGGCAGAATAATCCAAAGTTCAAACAGAAAATCAGAAGGAAGCAAGAAAATGAAGCTGTGGGAGACACAGGAGTAGGAGGGGGAAAGCCCGACAAGGTCATTAAGACTGAGGAAAGGGACACACTTACCAAATATAATAAGACACAGGTATATTCAATTAGATAACAAGACAGGGACTCAAAACACAGCAAGCCACATAAGGAAGTAATATGAATGGGAAGTAACTGAAAGGAATGTGGAATACACACAGAGGGAAGCAGGGAAATGCAGAAGAGAGAAAAACATGAGGAAAGAACGAGAAAATAATAATGAATTGTGTAAAATATTAATTACACTATAAACCATGACACAAGATAAACAAAACTAATCAATTAATTTATGTATATATATTACATTGATTGCAACTGTCCTGAGTGCAGCAGTCAGATGAAATTAGTGGGACACTGTGCCAGTAAGTAAATATTGGCACAGTAGCCCAATATTATAATTTTATCTTGGCAAAAAAATAGTAGGTACAAAAAGCAACAGGTTGCCTGTTTGGGGTGTGACACACAGTTCTCCATTTCAGTTTTGTATTTTTATTAAGTATCTCCCAAATGGCTCTCTTGTACCTGTCTAGATGCCAACGTGTCCTTTTGATTGGGATCAAGTACAAGCTTGAGGCAGAAATAAAACTTAACCCTGTCTATAACGCTGCTGTGGGAGCAGCGTTATAGACAGGGGGAGTTTTACCACACCACTGCACTGAATTACCATTTTACTGGGTAGGGTGGTTACCAAAGTGTTGGCTTTTGACCTGTTTTTATAGTCCAACAAAGCCGACTCATGACTGCTTAGACTGCATATGTCTGATGAACCAACAACCTAAGCTTTCTCTTCTAGGAACTGATCAGTCAGTCTCCAATATTCACTTTATGCCCAAGAGATTCAATCACATACACACTCTTGAAAACTGAGCCGGTTGTGATGTTTTATTGTCCTCACCCATGTCTGTTAGCTGGTTGATGTTAGCTGACCGGCCATGCTGTTAGACTGACCTTCCGGGCATTTTGAACAAAAACCACCACACCGTAAAATGCCCCCATCAATAATGATATGAAAACACGAAGTGAGAACCTGTAGGCCGCCCGGTGTAAACGTGTCTTGCCTGGTGGATAATGCTGCCTTTCTAAGCAGACAAAGAGATCTGCCCTCCGTGTGCTGCTGCTGTTCGTATTTTCAGACGCAGTGTTACTCTTCTGAGCCTGTTCGACGGGGTGCAAAAAGCATTCAGCTCTGAAGGATTTGAGAAACAGTGCAATCGTCCTGAATTTAAATGGGTTCAGGGCCCTGCGTACAGATGGCTGTGTACACAGCCAGATACGCCGTTCAATAGTTCGGAGTTTCTTCTCTCTCTAATCGCACCCTCTCTTTTTCTCTTTGCTGTCTTCGCGGCCTCTTTATCACTGCACTTCTTTACACACCTTGTACATGTAGACTGAAAAACACACATCCCGAAGCACACAGTGTTTTACTCAATTTCATTCTCGTTGCCCCACATCTGCTTTCTCCTCTAATTCTCCGTCCCCTCTTATTTCCCAGGACTGAGGATCCAGATAAAGAAATCGTTTTCCTTTGACCGTCAATCACGTTGACGTAATTTAACAAACCAGAAATAACATTTCTGTCTTTGTTTCTTTCTTACACGTCCTTTTCCCCCAGCCTTCTTCCCTTTCCAGGCTTCTAAACACTGAAAAATGAGATAAAGAAATCACTTTTGGGGGCGAATGGCCACAAAATAGCAAGCGTACACCTCAAGCTTTCCCTTGATCCACCATTTGACTTGTCTACCACCCTCAACCTATTGTTCTTTCTCAAGCACACACATGTCTGAGCGCATTCCCCTAAACATTTATTTTCTTTGCTCCACATTGCAGCACAAACTCAAACTGTGAAGATAAACTAGCCTGCAGTGTCAGAGTCTGACACAATGAAAGAATGCCATGCTGCAGAGCACCACAGTGATAGATTTAGACCAAAGTAGCAGATTAAAACAAATGAGGACCGGTGAAGGCTTCCAGACATCTCAGTTTTCATCTGATGTAGCGGGCCACCCGGGGAACCAGATGCTGGGAATTTTTTAACAATTTGAACAAGAACAAAGCTTTTGTTTAATTGACACCGTGAAGCTCTATTTACATTTAATCACCATGATTTTAAAATGCATTTCTTTCTTTTAGCTGCTGGAAATAAGGCTAGAAAAGCACTGTGGCCATTGCTAAGGTTTGGTTACAGTTATGTAATTGCTCTTTGTCAAAGTATGGCAAATACTGATACTGGTTTTGGGATCAAACCTGGCTGTTGTTTGCATG